CAGGCCGCAGAACCAGGTAATCCAGCTGACCTCCTCTGATGAAGACATTCCTGTTGTGGATGATGATGTTGTGGTTGGGATGGGGGTGATCCGATGAAGAATGGTGTTGAATTCGAAGGGAACGGACTGCTGATTTAGAAATGGAAAAGCGTTAGCTGTTGTTGACTTGAATCAGACTTTCACAGGCCATACCTCCTCCTCTTCGTACCTGATTGCTATTTGCACTGGGGTGGAGATCACAGAGTATTTGAAGACTGGAAAGAGGGGAGGTGGTGAAGGTGAGCGCCGCCGCCGCCGCAATGACCAGTTCCAGGAAGATGATGATGATGGGAAAGAAGATGAAGAAGCACTGTGGAAGTGTGTGATACCCCAGTGAGTGTTCTCCCTGTGTGTGAGTGTGTGTTTTCGCCCGAGCAGCGAGTGTCAGACTGTCCGCTTGTGTGGGAACGGTCGGCCGCTGGTGTCCTCGTGCAAATAGTCGCCGGTGGCAATCAAAACAGAACGGCATTTTTCTGCCACCGCCGCTGTTGCGTCATTTAGAAATCGCGCCCTTTCAAGTGCCAAAGTTCCAACATCGAAGCTCTTTACCCGATCATCATCGTCATGTCCCAGCACGACCCGTACCACCTTTCCTCGCTCAGCGACGTGCCCGGNGCCGAGCTCTGGCTGCCAATGGCGACATCGGCGGCGGCGGAGTGGGCACCTCTCAAATACTCCGACCGAACCCGCCGTCCTTCGCCGGCCCCACCTTTATGGGCGAAATTGAGGGCGTCCGGGCGCTGATCCCGCTGCTGAAGGCGATCACCATCAGGAAGCACGCCGTCATGGCCATCACCGACCGCGGCCTGAAGATCACCTGCGAGGAGACGTCGCGCTCGGTGCAGGCCTCCGCCTTCTTTGACCGCAACCTCTTCAAGCGCTACCAGCTGCCGGACGACCGGACGCTGTGCTTCGAGTTTCGCATGGCCGACCTGCTCACCGCGCTGAACATTCTCTTTCCGGAGCAGCACAAGTCGGACGATCCGCTCTTCGACAACAGCAAGGTGCAGCTGGCGCTGAAGTACCCGGTGGTGAAGGACGGCGGCTGCGAGCAGCTGAAGCTGCAGGTGCTGGGCGACCACAACGAGGCGGCCGCCTGCGTCAACACCTACAACCCGGACCGGCTGGTGGTCTTCAACATGTCCTTCGTCAACAAGATCATCATCGACGCGGAGCCGCTGATTGACTTCTGGCGGTGTGCGGACAGCACCTCCTCCCACCTGACGCTGGGCATCAGCAATGACATTGAGGTGGCCTTCGAGATGGCCACCAAGAGCGACCGGGGCGCCTTCCTCAACCGCATCAGCCCCGAGTCGGGCTACGTGGAGCACTACGAGTGCACGGTGCCGATGAAGAACCAGTACCTGATGGAGCACATGAAGAGCACCCTGCGGCCGCTCATTCTCGCCTCGAAGGTGTCCATACGGACTGATCCACAGGGGCTGCTCAACCTGCAGTTTCTCATTCGCCTGGACGGCAATGTGGGCGGTGTCCAGGGAGGGGGCGATGGCAACGTTACGGCGGCTTCAGGAGGAGGAAGAGGAGGAGGACGAACTGGTGGTGGTGGTGGTGGAGGTGGTGGTGGCCGTGCCAATCGCGGCATCATGATCAGCCAGGAGTCCTCCTTCAGCGACGAGGACCTCAATGACGAGGTGCCGAAGTGCTTCATCGAGTTCTACCTGCTGCCCTCGGTGGAGGGCGACTAAAGAAGAAGATGAAGAAGGTGTGTGTTTGCGTTTCGAATTTATCGTTTATTCTGCTTTTCTGTTTAGTTCTCGGAGCCAGTGTGTGGTGTGGTGTGTGAGTCAGACTTACTAATGTGTGTGTGTGTAACATAACAACAACAACAGAAACAACGACATTATTCATCTCATTCAGTGTCTTTACAACTCTCACTCTCAGTCAATTCAATTAATCAATTCAGTATTCAATCAAACAATTGTCATTAACAAAACTTTCTCTCTCTTTTCTCACTCTCTGTTTACAGGCTGATTATTGCAGAAGTAGGAGGAGGAGGAGGAGGAGGACGCTCTTGCTCTACTGAAATCTCGAGATTGCAAGAGGAGAAGGAGGAGGAAGAAGAAGAAGGGTGCTACAGTGCTGAAC